GCCGCCGTACCGCCGAGCCGCCGAGCCGCTTGAGCCGCCCTGTCCGGTAAGAGCAGCGCCTCTATCACTGCACTGCCCTCACCCTACTGTTCGCGCTGCTAGCCTACTGCTGTCATGGCTACCCCTAGTGTCCTCTCTTTTGACGCAGAGGGTTGGGCCATTGACTTTGACGTCTGGGTAGATGACCTACAGCTTTTCTTACAGTGCAATAGGGCAGACGGTCTCTCCCTCTTTGACCTCACTTCTGGTGCCTCTCCTCCCCCAGCTGCGGATGCTGACGCCACTATTTGCTCACAGTGGGCCACACGCAATGCAGCTGCACGTCTTGCTGTGCGTCGCCACCTGCCTACCTCTGAGCGTGCACACTTTAGCCTGTACAAGAGTGCTCAGACCTTGTACGACGCTGTAGTTGCACGCTACTCCTCCCCTGCCACTGCTGCACTGAGCCGCCTCATACTACCGTACCTCTTCCCTGACCTTGCTGCCTTTCCGACAGTCACTGACCTCATTACGCACCTCCGCAGTAGTGACACTTGCTACCGCGCTGCGCTTCGTGCTGAGTTCTCCACCAAGAACCCCCCCCGCCATGTACATCACCCTCTACTACATAGTCACCCGGCTCCCTGACTCTCTCCGCGTAGTCAGGGACCACTTCCTCTCAGTTTGCCCCACCACTCTCACCGTTGACCTCCTCAAGAAGGCCCTCCTAGCGGCAGAGAAGAGCATTGTCGCTGTAGGAGCCTCTCGTGGTGACCCTCGCACCCCCGTCTTTGAGGGGTGTTCCCCCTCCCCCCTTTTGCCCTCTGTTGCCTCTGCTGCTGCGGCCGACCTCGTTGGTTTCGAGTCGGTCGGCGCTGCGTCTGCCTCAAGCGGGAGACGCCGCACCGGCAAGGGCAAAGAGGGCAAGGGCGCAGGAAGGGCTGGCAGGGGTGGCGGAGGTGGCGGTGGCGGAAGGGGAGGGGGTGGGGGTGGAGGTGGGAGTGGTGGCGGGGGTGGAGGTGCCGGTGGAGGCAGTGGAGGCGGAGGCGGAGGCGGCGGTGGCGGTGGGGGCGGAGGTGGCGGAGGTGGCGGCGGAGGAGGAGGCGGCGCCAGAGGAGGAGGAGCTGGTCAAGGTGGCGCTACGCAGAGGGTCGGCCTCGGTGGTGGTCAGCGCCAGCAGCAGCAGCGCACTCGTGACCTCCCCCCCCCCTTAGCAGCTCCGTGAGTGGTACGCTCCACGCCAGCCGGGTGGGGGTACTGGTCCGTGCACTTACGTCCTATGCACCGGCGACCGCGCGGGTGAGCAGTGCAAGGGTGCGCACTCCACCCAGCGCTACTTTGGCAGCCTTACAGACGCTTGGCGTCACCAGTTCCTTGAGGCCACTGAGATCCCTCGCTGGGGCGAGCTCTCTAGGGCGGGAGTAGCTATCTTTGACCTTGACTTTGATGCTATTCTTGCTGCCATGTATGCTGTGACTATTAGTGATGAAGGTGACTGTTACCGGTGTTTTCCGCCGGACCCAGGCATTGAGACTGCTGCTCTAGGTGCTAGCAAGGCTGTTGCTCTAGGTGCCAGTGCGTCTGCTTCCTTAGGTGCTGGTGAGTCTCCCCTCTCTCGTACCACGCCGGCTTAGGCCTCCCACACCTTCACCCTTGACTCGGGGGCTTCTCGCTCCTTCTTTCCAGACCGCACCACACTCACGCCGCTTCGTCGGCCAATTGCAGTCTCTCTGGCAGACCCCTCAGGGGGTCCTGTCCTTGCTCACTTCTCCACTGTCCTCCCGTGTCCGGCGGTCCCATCTGGCACCCTGTCTGGTCTTTACCAGTGCTGCACATAGCTGCTCACCGTGACTACGAGCTGCACTCTCTTGACTTCAGCACTGCTTTCTTGCAGGGCAGCTTGCACGAGGAGATCTGGCTGCGTCGCCCACCTGGCTTCACTGGGTCTTTTCCTCCTAGCACCCAGTGGACCCTCCAGCAGCAAGTCTACGGTCTCCGCCAGGCACCGCGTGAGTGGCACGACACACCGAGGACTACACTGTCGGCTCTTGGGTTTGCTCCCTCTACTGCCGACCCGTCGCTATTTCTGCGCACCGACACTTCTTTGCTGCCGTTCTACATCCTCGTGTACGTTGACGACTTGGTCTTTGCCACTGCTGACACAACTGGACTCGCCCACGTGAAGTCCGAGCTGCAGAAGAGACACACGTGCACAGACCTGGGTGAACTGCGCAGCTATCTTGGCCTGCAGATCACCCGGGACAGAGCACGCCGCACCATTACCCTGACTCAGTCACACATGGTGCAGCAAGTCCTTCAGCGCTTCGGCTTCACGTACTCCTCGCCTCAGGCCACTCCTCTGCCTACTCGCCACTCGCTCTCAGCTCTGCCTTCGCATGAGTCCGTAGAGCCGAGTGGCTCGTACCCAGAGCTTGTTGGCTGCCTCATGTACCTGATGACCTGCACACAACCTGACCTTGCATACCCTCTTAGCATCTTGGCACGCTATGTTGCTCCCGGGAGACACAGACCAGAGCACATGGCTGCTGCGAAGAGGGTGTTGCACTACTTGTGTAGTACGTCGAGCATTGGGCTTGTGCTTGGAGGGCAGAGTCCAGTGGTCCTCACTAGGCACGTGGACGCTTCTTGGGCTGACGACCAGGCTACGCAGCGGTCGTCACAGGGTTACACCTTCAGCCTTGGTTCCGGCTCTGTTTCGTGGCGGGTTACCCGCTCGTCTTCTGTTCTCGGCTCCAGCTGTGAGGCTGAGATCTACGCAGTAGCCATGGCTGCACAGGAGCTTTGCTAGCTCACCTACCTGCTGACTGACCTCGGAGAGCCGCCTCATTCTCCTCCAGTGCTGTACGTAGACAACAAGGCCATGCTGGCCTTGTGTCGAGAGCAGAGACTTGAGCACACAATGAAGCACATTGCTCTTCACTACCTCCTTGCTCGTGAGCTACAGCAGCGTGGTCAGCTGCGCCTTGCGTACGTGGCCTCTGAGGCGAACACTGCTGATATGTTCATCAAGGCGTTTGCGCCTTGTAATCATCAGCGCTTCTGTACTCAGCTGGGTCTTGTGCCTGCCTTGCCTCACTTGCTCACCACTTGACCTTGTTTGTACTGTTACATATATATATACTCCTGCTCTTGCTTGTCTAGCCATATATATATATATATATATATATATATATATATATGTGTGTAATCGTGCATGTGATTTGGCCTTGTGGCCTTGAACTTGTGCTCGGAATGTGTGGTGACTTTGTGATCCACCCTGAGCTTGCTTTGCTTTGCTTGACTGGTCTTGTGACCCCTTGTTCTCCCCCAATTTGCCTATGGGGGTGTGTTAGATATATATGACATAGCTGTTGTAGGCTATAGTGGGGTAGCACATATGGGGTACGACTTTCTAGGGTTTGTACTTGTACCCAACTTTCCCTTAGTCAATTCATTCTCGTTCATTTTCTCATGGTGCGCACGGTTGCAATAGGACGTAGCGGACTCGTGCTCTCCCATCTCGAGGTTAGTGAGCGCCTGCTCTAACCGGCCGATGTACAGATCGTCCTTTGCCATGTACGTGCGCATAATAAACTGCCATGCCTGATAGCTGGCATCTACCTTCATGCAACACACCTTAAGGGCGATCTGTACGGTTGGGGAGCAGCATCGAGAAATGGTGGTGAATGTCAGTAACTGCATCGCGCGGAACTGAGAGAGATGCGCAAGTGCACGCGCTGGTGGAATGGGAGTGGTGCCATCTATGAATCGCTTTAGCTGAGCGATCTCAAGCAGCGGCTTGATCGATTCTGTCCAAGTCGACAGGTCGTGGTGTCCTTCTAACGGCCTAGGGACAACGATCTTGTCTAGAGTGAATCTGAAGTAGCCATAGTTGGGGGCTATTCCCTCGTCCCTCGACATCGATCCAATCGGGGTAAGGCCCGGCATAGCCTCACTATCGTACTCTTCCGTATTTCCTCCTCCAGCAACGCTCCGCCGTCCTATATTCGCATGCTCTCGTGACGCTGCTGCACGATGAACACGCTCCTGTACACCGCCGACGCTAGCTGTACTAAACCGAGTTGATCCTCGCAGGACCCCAAGCAACATCAACCCATCAAGCTCCTCGTCATCACTATTTCCGCCATCGACACCCATATCCCACGCACTAGTACCTCCCGCAGCTTGCTCAACATTCTCTACACGTGGCGAAGGGTGCTCACGACGGCGTTGCGAGCACAATCCCTCCAACATTACCTCGTATTCGATATCACTAATCTCACCACGAGAATAACGAGCCACGAGATCCTCCTCTAGAGCGCGCAAATTACCGGCCTCCATGTTCGCCTCCTCCGTATTCATCCTCTACGACGTCTCTATAAGGTACCACAAATTAAAATAAATTGTCCCTTCCTTGAATCCCTTGTCTTGGGGTCACCTCACAAGGGTCCTCAGAGGAATGGTAACAAATTACCAAACGCCCTATCCTTGGGTCTGAGAACTTAAATTAATAAGCGCCCTTCAGTAACACCGCACGCCAAGGCGAGTATACGAACGCGAATATCAACGACGACGGAAATCTATGCGTGTTCGTTCCACGCTCACCGCACCGTGAAGGAATATATTAGAGAGCGTAGCGATAACAAGAGAGTTTCTGCTATGGGAATGATGTTGCGCCAGCAACTGTGAAAGAAGTGAACAGGAATTAGAATGACTAAGTCAGAGTTGGGTACAAATACAACCCTAGAAAGCTGTACCCCATATGTGCTACCCCACTATAGCCTACAAACATGCATCAGCTATAATACTCTGACACACCCCCATAGGCAAAGTGGGGGAGAACAAGGGGTCACAAGACCAGTCAAGCAAAGAAAAGCAAGCTCAGGGTGGATCACAAAGTCACCACACAGTCCGAGCACAAGAGCAGGGCCAGAGGCCAGTTCACATGCAGGAGTACAGACATATATATAAAACTAGACAAGCAAGAGCAAGTATATATAAATGTCACAGTACAAGTGAAGTCAAGAGGAGAGCAAGTGAGGCAAGACAGGCACAAGACCCAGCTGGGTGCAAAAGCGCTGATGGTCACAAGGCGCGAGTGCCTTGGTGAACACATCAGCAGTGTTGGCCTCAGAGGCCACGTACGCAAGTCGCAACTGACCACGCTGCTGCAGCTCACGAGCAAGGAAGTAGCGGAGAGCAATGTGCTTCGTTCTGTGCTCCAAGCGCTGCTCTTGACACAAGGCCAGCATGGCCTTGTTGTCTACGTACAGCACTGGAGGAGAACAAGGCGGCTCTCCAAGGTCAGTCAGCAGGTAGGTGAGCCAGCGAAGCTCCTGTGCAGCCATGGCCCCGGCGTAGATCTCAGCCTCACAACTGGAGCCGAGAACCGAAGACAAGCGAGTAGACCGCCACGAGACAAAGCCGGAACCAAGGCTGAAGGTGTAACCCTGTGACGACCGCTGCGTAGCCTGGTCGTCAGCCCAAGAAGCGTCCGCGTGGCCGGTAAGGACCACTGGACTCCGCCCTCCAAGCACTAGCCCCATGCCCGACGTACTGCACAGGTAGCGCAATACCCTCTTCGCTGCAGCCATGTGCTCCGGTCTGTGTCTCCCAGGAGCAACATAGCGTGCAAGAATACTCAGAGGGTATGCAAGGTCAGGTCGTGTGCAGGTCATCAGGTACATGAGGCAGCCAACAAGCTCTGCATACGGACCACTCGACTCTACGGACTCATCCGAAGGCAGAGCTGAGAGTGAGTGGCGAGTAGGCAGAGGAGTGGCCTGAGGCGAGGAGTACGTGAAGCCGAAGCGCTGAAGGACCTGCTGCACCATGTGTGACTGAGTCAAGGTAATGGTGCGGCGTGCTCTGTCCCGAGTGATCTGCAAGCCAAGGTAGCTGCGCAGTTCACCCAAGTCTGTGCACGTGTGTCTATTCAGCAGCTCGGACTTCACGTAGGCGAGTCCAGTAGTGTCCGCTGTGGCAAAGACCAAGTCGTCGACGTACACGAGGATGTAGAACGGCGGCAGGGAAGTGTCGGTGCGAAGAAACAGTGACGGGTCAGCAGTAGAAGGAGCAAACCCAAGAGCCGCAAGCCTAGTCCTCAGTGTGTCGTGCCACTCACGCGGTGCCTGGCGAAGACCGTAGACTGGCCGTCGGAGGCTCCACTGGGTGCCAGGAGGGAAAGTCCCAGTGAAGCCAGGTGGACGGCGAAGCCAGATCTCCTCGTGCAGGCTACCCTGCAAGAACGCAGTGCTGAAGTCGAGAGAGTGAAGCTCGTAGTCACGCTGAGCGGCTATGTGCAGCAGCACCCAAAGAGTAGTCATCTTCGGGGTGGGAGAGAAGGTCTGAAAGTAGTCAACTCCCTGCCGCTGACTGAAGCCACGAGCAACGTACCGTGCCTTGAAGACAGGTGGAGAGCCCGGCGGCCGCTTCACCCTGAAGATCCACATGCCACTGACGATGTTTGCCCCAGGAGGGGGAACCGCGTCAACGTAGGTGCCTGTGGACTTCCAGGAAGCCATCTCTGCATCCATAGCTGCCTGCCACTGAGAGGAGTAGGGACCCTCTACGGCCTCCGCGTAAGAACGCGGAGTCGGGATGTCTAGTGCATCCGAGTCTCCCTCAGGGGCAAGCAGTACAGACGCAAGATGAGGTGAAGCAGCCGCTAGACACTGTAACTCCTCCTGCCTGTCCTCTAGGACGTCCGTGCCAAGAGCACACTCACCCCTGACGGACGGAGGACAAACAGACGCAGACTCAGCAACAAGACTAGCAGCGTAGTCGAGACGACAGCGAGCAGCAAAGTCGACGAGCTCAGCGACTAGAGCAGACGCAGCAGTGGACTCAAAAGAGGGGTCAGTGACGACAGTAGCAAGGAGACGCGTGACAGTAGGACTGGCAGCACGAAGAGAGTCCGACTCAGGGTCGGCAAGCGCAGGAAGAGAGGACTCAGGAGGAGAAGGCAAAGGGGCACGCAGAGGAGCAGTGGACGGACGCAAAGACATTCGGTGCGTGCCAGGGACAGGAGGAGGACGCTGACGCTAACTGCGACCACTAGCGCGAGCAGCACAAACAGGCGACGCGGGATGAGACGCAGGCTCACGACGCTCAGCAAGACCTCCAGTAGGACCAGTGTAAGGAGAGGGAGCAGGCAGTGGAGAGGAAAGCTCCAGCAGGGACTGCGACTGGACAGGCGGTGAACCCTCTACTAGAGGAGAAAGACCAAGAACCTGCTGCAGGAGCGGAACGAAGTATGGCCAAGGCCGCGCGGCAGCTCCAGACTCAGCAGGGACAGCACCAGCACCCTCAGCGACAGCACCAGCGCCACCCACTTCTCGAGCGGCAGGACCAACAGCAGTAGGCTCAGCACCAACGCCCTCAGCAGCTCCAGCTCCAGGAGGACCCGCAGGTCCAGCAGCTCCGGGACCGGCAGCACCCGCACCCTCGACGGTCGAAGAAGCTCCAGCTCCAGCTCCAGCAGCACCTCCAGACTCAGCAGCACGCCTCCAGCGGCGAGCAAACCACTCGCGCAGCTCCTATGGAGAGAGGGGCTCCCGGCGAGACGCAGCAGCAGGAGAAACCCCAGACTCAGCAGCTCCAGACGCAGCACCCCCAGGCTCAGCAGCTCCCAGCTCAGCACCCCCAGGCTCAGCAGCTCCCGACCTAGCACCCCCAGACCCAGCACCTCCAGGCACAGCACCCCCCGACTCAGCACCCCCAGGCTCCGCACCCTCCGCAGTAGCACCCCCAGCAGTAGCACCCCCAGGCTCAGCACCCCCGCGCACAGCACCCCCAGAGTCAGCACCCCCAGGCTCAGCACCCGCAGCAGCACCAGAGTCACCAGTAACCTCGACCGGGTCAACGGCGTCTACCTGGGACACACCTGAGGGGGCAGGAACCTGAGGGGGGAGGGGGTCTACCGGGGGGGGAACCGGCACAAGGAAGTCCGGGGGAGGGGGGAGGGAAGGAGTGCGGTAGGGGAAGAGACGGTAGAAGGGGACTGACTCGTCGAACGTGACGTCCTGGGAGGACAGAACACGACGAGAGGAGGGGTGGTAAAACTGCCACCCTGGGGCGTCAGAGGGGAAGCCAAGGAAGACACAGGGAGCAGCACGAGGGGACAGCTTGTCCGCAGACAAGTCGCGGACAAACGCCCGAGATCCCCAGACACGGAATACAGACGCATCGCCAACCTTCCCCGTCCACAACAAGGCTGGGGACATCGCAGGCCGAGAGACCCGGGGGTGAAGGTTGAGCTGATGCGCCGCGTACCTCACCGCAAACGGCCACAGAAAATGGGGGGCAGCCGCATGCATCATGGACGTACGAGCGACATCCATGACCATGCCAATGCGGCGCTCAGCAATCCCATTTTGCTGTGGTAAGTCCGGTAGGGTGAAGGTCTGGCGAATCCCCCGTGCACGACAGTAGTCCCGCAGAAGGCGAGAAGAGAACTCTCCGCCTCTGTCCGAGTGCAGACGCAGAACAGGAAAGTCCGAGCCGAAGCTCTTCCTGAGCTGGAGACGAGCCTCGCGGATCCAGTCGATCAGCACCTCAGTGACCGCACCCTTGCTGCGCAAGGGGAGGACTGTGGTGTAACGCGAGTAGTCGTCAACCACCAACAGGAAGTAGCACTCGTGACCCTGCCCACGGACGGGGGCTGGGCCCCACACATCCATGTGAAGCGTCTGCAGGGGAGCCTCTGTCGGGGGGAAGTGGGAGGAGTGAGGAGTAGCCCGGAGGCGACCCTCGACACAGGGGACACAGGAAGGTCTTGGCCCGGAGGGGAGAGGAGGGAGAGACTGGGGAAGACCAGAGACAAGGACACGGGAAGCCATGCTCCGAAGACGGGGTAAGGAGGGGTGGCCAAGACGGTGGTGCCACAGGAGAGTCTCGTGAGACAGGAGGCGACAAGAACAGGGGGCAGACTCAGGACCTCACCGGGACGCAGCAGCAAGCACTTGACCCGGCGCAGCCACCTGATCAGACGCAGGGACAGGAGGAGACTCAACGGTCAGGGTGTAGAGACTCGACCCCGGCTGACGCGAGAACGTGGCCAGGTGTCGGCCTGTGCGTGCCTCCGTGCAGTGGGTCACCCGCTGACTCGCAGGAGTGAACTGGTGAACCCCCACATCCTGCAGGTCCGCTCCACTCACCAAGTTCGTAGAGAACGAGGGAAGGTACAGACCAGACAGGGTGCCCGAAGGGGCAGCCGGACACGGGAGGACAGTGGAGAAGTGAGACAGGACAGGACCCCCAGAGGGGTCAGCAAGGGAGACCGCAACTGGCCGGCCGAGCGGCGTAAGGGTAGTGCGGTCTCGAAAGAAGGAGCGAGAAGCCCCGGAGTCAAGTGTGAAAGTGAGGGAGGACGAGGACGACGCAGTACCTGAGAGCGCAGTCTCACCAGTACCTGAGAGCACAGACGCACTGGCACCTAGAGCAGCAGCCTCACAAGCACCTAGCGTAGCAGTACCAATGCCCGGGTCGGGCTGGAAACACCGGTAACCCTCATTCTCCTCACTATAATCCACAACATACATAGCAGCAAGGATAGCATCAAAATCAAGATCAAAGATCGCTACACCAGCCCTGAGAAGCTCATCCCAGCGAGGGATCTCACTAGCCCTAGGGAACTGCTGACGCCAAGCGTCCGTCAGGCGGCCAAAGCAGCGCTGGGTGGCGTGGGCACCCCCACACTGCTCACCCGCGCGGTCGCCGGAACGAAGAACGTAGGTGCAGGGACCAGTACCCCCACCCCTCTGACGCCCAGCGTACCACTCACGAAGCTGCTGAGGCGGAGGGATGTCCCGCGAGCGCTGCTGCTGCTGCCGCTGCGAGCGCTGGCCACCACCACCGCCGCTACGCTGCTGGGTACCACCCCAGCCAGCTCCACCTCCTCCACCACCACCGCCTCCTCCGCTGCCACCTCCACCGCCTCCACCTCCGCCGCCTCCACCTCCGCCGCTGCCTCCACCACCACCGCTGGCACCACCACCACCGTCTCCGCCGCTGCGGCCACCACCACCACCACCACCCCCGCCACTAGTCCCGCCGCCACCCCCACTCCCTCCGCCGCCACCGCCGCCACCGCCACCGCCCCCTCCAGCTCCACCCGCGCCCTTGCCCCCCTTGCCCTTGCTGGAGCGACGTCTCCCACTAGGGGCAGACGCCGCGCCGACCGACTCAAGACCAAGCAGGTCGGCCGCAGCAGCAGAGGCAACAGAGGGCAGCAAGGGGGAAGGAGAGCACCCCTCAAAGATGGGGGTGCGAGGGTCACCACGAGAAGCACCTACAGCGACTATGCTCTTCTCCGCTGCGAGGAGGGCCTTCTCGAGGAGGTCGATGGTGAGGGTGGTGGGACAGACTGCGAGAAAGTGGTCCCTGACGACTCGAAGGGAGTCAGGGAGGCGCGCGACTACGTAGTAGAGAGCGATGTACATGGGGGGGGGGTTCTTAGCGCAGAACTCAGCAGGAAGGGCGGCGCGGTAGCGAGTGTCACTAGTGCGGAGGTGCGTAATGAGGTCAGCGACAGTGGGAAAGGCAGAGAGGTCAGGAAAGAGGTAGGGAAGCATGAGACGGCTCAGTGCAACAGTGGTAGGGGAGGAGTAGCGCTCAACTACAGCGTCGTACAAGGTCTGAGCACTCTTGTACTGACTAAAGTGCGCACGCTCAGAGGTAGGGAGGTGGCGACACACAGCAAGACGTGCAGCAGCATCGCGGGTGTCCCACTTAGAGCGGACAGTGGGATCAGCATCAGCAGCAGGAGCAGGAGAGGCGCCAGAGGTGAGGTCAAAGAGAGAAAGGTCGTCAGCCCTGTCGCACTGTAAGAACAGCTGCAGGTCGTCTAACCAGACCTCAAAATCAATGGCGCGACCCTCAGCGTCAAAAGCTAGGACACTAGGGGTAGCCATGGCGACGACAGCGACGCAGTGCAAGCAGTAGGGAAAGAGCTCGCAGTGTCAGTGGGACTGTGCTCACCAGGCATGGCAGGTCGTGCAGTTCTGCAGAAAGGCGGCTCAGCGACCGGGCGGCTCGGGTGCACAGCGGCTCGGCTCCCGGGCGGCTCGGCGGCTGGGCGGCTCGGGCGCAGGGCGGCTCGGCTCCCGGGCGGCTCGGCGGCAGGGCGGCTCGGGTGCAGGGCGGCTCGGCTCCCGGGCGGCTCGGCGGCAGGGCGGCTCGGGTCCAGGGCGGTTCGGCTGCTGGGGCGGCTCGGCCGGGAGATGCAGGGGCGGGGCCGTCAGGTGCAGCGGCGGGTCGACCGGTGCAGCGGCGGGCCGGCAGGTGCAGCGGCGGGGCCGTAGGGTGCAGCGGCGGGCCGACCAGGTGAGGCGGCGGGCCGTAGGGTGCAGCGGCGGGCCGTAGGGTGCAGCGGCGGGCTGGCAGGTGCAGCGGCGGGGCCGTCAGGTGAAACGGCGGGCCGCTGGGTGCAGCGGCGGGCCGGCAGGTGCAGCGGCGGGCCGGCAGGTGCAGCGGCGGGGCCGTCAGGTGAAACGGCGGGCCGCTGGGTGCAGCGGCGGGCCGGCAGGTGCAGCGGCGGGCCGGCAGGTGCAGCGGCGGGGCCGTCAGGTGAGGCGGCGGGCCGTAGGGTGCAGCGGCGGGCCGTAGGGTGCAGCGGCGGGCCGGCAGGGCCGCGTCAGAGGCGGCGGCGGGGCCGCGGCAGTGGAGGCGGCGGGGCCGCGTCAAGCAGGCAGCGGGGCCGCGACGAAGCGGGCGGCAGGGCCGCGTCAGAGCCGGCGGCGGGGCCGCGTCAGTGGAGGCGGCGGGGCCGCGTCAAGCAGGCGGCGGGGCCGCGATCAGGAGAGGTGGCGGGGCCGCGTCTGAGGGACAGCGGGGCCGCGAGGGAAGTGGCGACCCGAGGGGTCGCTAAAAAAAAAAGGCGCGCCTCGGGGCGCGCTTCGGTGGGCCCTAAAAAAAACGGTCCTAAGGAAGGACCCGCTCTATACCATGTGAAAGAAGTGAACAGGAATGAGAATGACTAAGTCAGAGTTGGGTACAAATACAACCCTAGAAAGCTGTACCCCATATGTGCTACCCCACTATAGCCTACAAACATGCATCAGCTATAATACTCTGACAGCAACTTGGTAGAGTTTCGGTAGCGTTTGCCTCTAAGGACGTAGTGAGAATTGAAGTAGCATTTGGACTTCACTAGGAAAATAGAATATATACCGAAACAATTGTTGCGTGGCGCTGCGAGTAACCCAACCCACACGAAAGTGCTGTGTAGGTGGGCGATTGCGCCCCGCTGAATTCCCTATCCAACTCAGCACCGAATGCCCTTCCGTGCACGCCACTCCACCCAACTCAGCTTGGGAGTGGCGCGCCCCACAGCGAAGGCACATATGACTCCCACGACTCCTCTTCCCAGCACCGACTTCACCGAATTCGTCACTGCAGTTCGTAGTCACCCATAGTCACGCGTGACCGCCACCGAACTCATGCGTCGGTGCTGAGTAGACTAAGTCGTCACTCACCGATCTGCCAAGTCAAACAGTCGTCGAGGGCCCTTGCTATCGTAGGGCCCTCCAACACCGGCCTTGACCAGTAGCCGATTTTTTACGGATCGGCAACCGCTGACGTTGACGATGACGGACCGGAGACAGAAGCCGCATTAAGGCGTGGGCGCGCGGAGCCGAGAGAATCAGAGTAGGTGCGAGTATGGCGAGTAGATACCAGAGATAGTGTCGCACGTAAAGAGATGTTGACGAGAGCTACAATAGTGGCGACGAGGAGAGATGACCCACGAGAGACGCGTTGCCCGAGACCAGGAACCATACTCTGGACTAGACGGAGCAGGCTCACACGACACGATCCTGCTGGGTGGTGGCGCGGCGACGAGAAATTCACTATGCGGTACGCTAAATAAAGTGGTAACAAAAAGCTAACCCCGGGATGGAATGCACCGAGGAATTCAATGTTGTCTGTCTCCTTTGCCCCCTAGTCACCACAAGCTTACCACCAGCAGCAGAGGGCACATAGAAAATCTGGAGGGTGACGGAATATAGAGCGGCTGAGAAACGTAGCGCTAGCAGCGGCACAGGTAGAGGCGGGGGTGGAGGGGGAGCAGATAGTGGAGGTAGATGTGGGTACGGACCACTGGGTGGCTGAAACAAGGCTACGACGCAGCTCCCATGGCGCGGCTGTGTTAGAGACTAAGGACGGAGTCTATGAAGATTAGGTGCCCAAATTTCTCAAAATCGTTGGTCTTAATTTCTGGACAGAAACGTCCACTTCACAAGAAACGTTGTCGACAAAAAGGTGCACCGTTAGAATCCCACGAAATTCAAATATGTTGTAGCCCTAGACCGTGGCTACATTTCCCAATTTGAATTGTATCAAAATATGAAGCATATCTCGAGTTATGCTTTTTGGCGCACTAGGGGGTATGCTGCCACTGAAATTTAACTCAATCACAATTAACTCACAAGTCCCACAAAAGAGCATTAGAGAAGCACTAAACCTGGTAGGAGGGGAAGAGGAGGACGAGAGGGAAGGTCCCAAGAGAGAGTCCCCAACCAAGGAAACCCCATGCCACACAATTCCCTTCCCCATAGGCAACAAACTTTGACCTTTGTCACTTTCCAACCCATGCTATCCACCTCACCACAACTTGGCCACACTTACCAACCTGGTTTGGCTTCACCCAACCTCTTGGCAGCATCTACAGTGATGGGTTCGAGTTTTCCAATCCCTACAAGTCTGTACCCCATATTGAGTCAATGCCACAACTTCCCAAAGTAGCTGCAACCAAAATACATAGGCATACGAACTCCAATGTTGGTAACTTTCTTGGTTGTGCTCCGATCGCGACGATTCTTGGTTCGTCGGAAAGCTCTTGAGTAGAGGAATCACTTCAAATATCTGCTCAAGCCAAATAGCATACATACACACACACACACACACACACACACACACACACACACACACACACAAAATCCAAACCACACAAGACACAAATTTCTTGCACACGCTCACACCACGCATGCAACGCACAAACACATGATGGGAGGCAGACAGACGTGAATGCATTTGGTTGCATCACACAACAAACTCCCCCTCTGGCTGCCAACCATCATCCCACATGCCATAACTCAAGCATGCACCCTCAATGCACACTCATTCCCGCAAGCTTCATGCCCTTCCAATGCTCAGGTTCTGCCAGGCGCTTGGTGAGAATGTCAGCCGCCTGCTGCTGGGTCTTCAGAATCTCCAGCCGCACCTCCTTGTCCAGGAGCCTCCTTGTCCAATGCCACTTTGGCCTGATGTGCTTTGTCAAGCCATGAAGACAGGCATTCTTGGCAAGCTTAACCGCCGACTCATTGTCAAAGAAAATCACAGTCGGCTCCCTCTGACACACTCCGATTTCCTCCAACAAACGCCTCAGCCACACCACCTCCTTTGCCCCATGATGCAGGGCCATGTACTCTGTCTCACACGAGGACAACCCCACCTCGTTCTGCTTCTTGCTGCGCCAGCTCACTGCACCACCTCCAAACAGGCACACATAGCCTCCAATGCTGGTGCCATCCGTCTTCACTAAGTTGAAGCTAGCGTCGGTGTAGCAAGTCAAGCACATCTCCCCCTTGCTCAAATCAGCTCCACCCCTCTGTAGCCTCTGTCGCACAGCACTGTACTCCAAGCCCACTGATGCTATAGCGCTCACATAGCGGACCAACCTCTTGGCCGCTTCCAGCTGCTCATGACTTGGGCATGAAACCACACTCGCAAGCCTGGATGTAGCAAAGGCAATGTCAGGCCGCGTGTGGTTAGCCGCATAGTTGAGTGCCCCCACCATGGAGTGAAACAACTTCCTGTCACTCTCCCCCACCACCTCCTCATCAGCACAGGGCTCCACAGTGAACCCCGAAGGCAGCGGGGTGGCTGGCTTTCCTGCATCTTGCAACCCATACTTCTCAGCCAGCCCCTCACAATACTTCCTCTGGTGCAACCTCAACACTCCCTTGTCAAGGTCCCTCTCCACGTGCATCCCAATGTAGTACTTCACATCTCCCATCTTGGAGCACTTGAACTGCATTTCCAGCATCTCCTCCACACGTTTAATCATCGCACATGACTCAGAGAAGAGCAGGATGTTGTCCACGTACACCAGGAGCATGAGGAACTGCTCCTTCTCCTGCAGTAGGAACAGGCTGTAATCACACTCGCTCTTCTTGACCCCCCCGGCCAGCAGTGTCTCCTCCAGCTTGTGGTACCATGCGCGAGGAGCCTGCTTCAGGCCATAGATGGCCTTCTTGAGCCTGCACACTCTGCCGCTCCCATCATCCAACCCCTCAGGCTGCAGCATGTACAGCTCCTCCAGAATGATTCCATTGAGGAAGGCAGTGATTATCTCCATCTTCTTGATCTTCCAGCCACGGTTTGCAGCCATTGCCAACATCGTCCTCCGTGTAGTGCCTTTCCCCATAGGAGCAAAGATATCATCAAAATCCTTCCCCTTTGTTTGTTGGAACCCCTTAGCCACAAGCCTTGACTTGTAGCGGGTCAGCTCCCCATCAAGTCAGTACTTGTGCCTGAAAATCAGCTTGGAAGAAATGGCCTTCTTCCCTGGAGGCAGCTCACACAGCTCCCACATCTCGTTCTATAGCAGAGAGTCATACTCCTCCTTCACACTCTGCTTCCACTTCTCAGCATCGGGCCCACTCAAGGCCTCGGTAAGTGTCTTGGGCTCAAGGACGGCTGCCCAGTAACAGTGCGCTATCTCCTCCTCATCACACTGCTCAGCCACACTCCTAGCCCTTACCACACTTGGCTTCCCAAAGCTCGGATAGGTCAGCCGATTAGGAGGGCGCACATCCCTCCTTGGACGGTCAGCCGGGCGTACAGTGCCTTGTGGAGCATCTTGCTGCTGCTGCTGCGGCTGCTGCTGCTGCTGCTGGTGCTCGTCCACCTG